TTCCTGCTGGGATCTTGGCCAGCAGTCGCTATGCCAAAGCAAAGGTGCAACCACCTGGGCTCAGGCCTCCTCGACGCCTTTTGGCACATGGGCCTATTCAGGATATCTTTCGAGCAGCCACGAGGTGCATCTCTCCCTGGCTTTGCTACCCATTCTTTGCTGACCGAGAGGATGCTGGCGTTGGTAGGCTGACACTGCATGTCACTAAGCAGTGAACATGGAGCCCATCACAGTGGCTATTGCTTGTGAGTCACCTAAAGTGGAAACAACATGACCAAGCCCTTGAAGAAGAAAAAACGGTCACCTCTACCTTGTGTAACTGTTGTTCTTCAAGATGTGCCACTCTTGTCTATTCCATTTCTCACTTTCCTACCTGCTGTTGGAGTTGCTGGCAGGCAGGAACATAGAGTGCATCAGGCCATGGTACCTAATATACCGTCACATGGGAGTGCCACTGCAGATGCTGCCATGGCTGGCCCTCTGGCTACAGCTAAGGCAGAAACCTCCAGCAACTGTGCCCGCAGCGCGCACACTGGAATGGCCATGAGCATCATAAGAACATAAGAACGGCCATACTGGGTCAGACCAAAGATCCATCTAGCCCAGTATCCTGTCTGCCAGCAGTGGCCAATACCAGGTGCCCCAAAGGGAAGGATCGCAACAGGTAATCCTCGCGTAATCACTTGCCTGTCACCCACCTCCAGAGAAACAGAGGCTAGGGACACCATTCGTATTCATCCTGGCTAATCGCCATTGATGGACATAACCTCCATGCATCTATCTAGCTCTTTTTAAAACCAATCTTATTAAGTTCTAGCCTCCACCAGATCCTCTGGCAAAGAGTTCCACAGGTTGACTGTGCGCTGAAAGAAGAAAAATGTCCTTTTGTTTGTTTTAAACCTTCTGCCTATTGATTTCATTTGGTGACCCCTAGTTCTTATATTGTGGGAATAAGTAAATAACTTGTCCTTATTCACTTTATCCATACCAGACTTGATTTTATAGACCTCTATCATATCCCTCCGAGTCTCCTCTTTTCCAAGATGAAAAGTCCAAATCTTTTTAATCTCTCTTCATATGGGACCTGTTCCAAATCCCTCATCATTTTTGTTGCCCTTTTCTGAACCTTTTCCAATGCCAATATATTTTTTTGAGATGAAGCGACCACATCTGTACGCATTATTCAAGATGTGGGCGTACCATGGTTTTATATAGAGGCAATAAGATATTTCCTGTCTTATTTTCTATCCCTTTTTTAATGACTCCTAACATTCTATTTGCTTTTTTGACTGGTGCTGCACATTGAGTGGATGTTTTTAGAGAAGTATGCACAATGACTCCAAGATCTCTCTCTTGAGTAGTTGTAGCTAAATTAGTCCCCATCATATTGTGTGTATAGTTGGGGTTATTTTTTCCAGTGTGCTTTACTTACATTTATCAATGTTTAATTTTATTTGCAATTTTGTTGCTCAAACACTTAGTTTGGTGAGATCTTTTTGAAGCTCTTCACAGTCTGCTTTGGTCTTAACTATCTTGAGCAGTTTGTGTCATCTGCAAATTTTCCCACCTCACTGTTTACCCCTTTCTTTAGATCATTTATGAATAAGTTGAATAGGATGGGTACCAGGACAGACCCTTGGGGGACCCTACTCTCCATTCGGAAAACTGAACATTTATTCCTACCCTTTGTTTCCTGTCTTCTAACCTGGTATTAATCTAAGAAAGGATCTTCCCCCCTATCCCATGACAACTTACTTTACTTAAGAGCCTTTGGTGAGGGACCTTGTCAAAGGCTTTCTGGAAATCTATCCACTGGTTCCCCCTTGAACACATGTTTATTGACCCTCTCAAAGAACTCTAGCAGATTAGAAGCTTCAGGGAGTTTTGTTTAAGTGCTACCAGACCATTTGTTGTTTTTTAACAACACATTAGTAAGGCATGATTTCCCTTTACAGAAACCATGTTGACTTTCCCCCCAACAAATTATATTCATCCATGTGTCTGGCAATTTTATTCTTTACTATAGTTCCAACTTATTTGCCTGGTACTGACGTTAGACTTACTGGTCTGTAATTGCCAGGATCACCTCTAGAGCCCTTTTTAAATATCGGCATCACGTTAGCTATCTTCCAATCATTAGGTGCAGGAGCTGATTTAAAGGATAGGTTACAAACCACAGTTAATAGTTCCACAGTTTCCCAATTGAGTTCTTTCAAAACTCTTGGGTGAATGCCATCTGGTACGGGTGGCTTGTTACTGTTAAGTTTATCATCTCAATCATCCAAGGGCCCCACTGGTTGTTTAGCCGACTTCCTGCTTTTGATGTACTTAAAAAACATTTTACTATTACTTTTTGAGTTTTTGGCTAGCTGCTCTTCAAACTCCTTTTTGGCTTTTCTTATTATATTTTTACTCTTGATTTGACAAAGTTTATGCTCCTTTCTATTTTCCTCACTAGGATTTAACTTCCACTTTTTAAAAGATATATTTTTATCTGACACTGCTTCTTTTACCTGGTTGTTAAGCCACGGTGGCACTTTTTTGGTTCTCTTACTGTGTTTTTTAATTTGGGGTATACATTTAATTTGGATCTCTGTTATGGTGTCTTTGAAAAATTTCCATGCAGCTTGCAGAGATTTTACTTTTGTCATTGTACCTTTTAATTTCTGTTTAACTAACTTCCTCATTTTTGTGTAATTCCCCTTTCTGAAATTAAATGCCACCATGCTGAGCTGCTCAGGTGTTTTTCCCACCACAGGGATGTTACATTTTATTACATTATGGTCACTATTTCCAAGTGGTCCAGTTATATTTACCTCTTGAACCAGATCCTGCGTTCCACTTAGGACTAAACCAAGAATAGCCTCTCCCCTTATGGTTTCCAGAACCAGCTGTTCCAAGAAGCAGTCATTTAAGGTATCAAGAAATTTAATCTGTCATCCTGTCCTGAGGTGACATGTACCCAGTCAATATGGGGATAGTTGAAATCCACCACTATTATCGAGTTTTTTAATTTGATAGCCTCTCTAATCTCCCTTAGTATTTCATAGTTACTATCACTGTCCTGATCAGGTAGTCGATAATATATCCCTATAACTATATTCTTGTTATTGGAGCATGGAATTATTATCCATAGAGATTCTATAGAACACTTTGACTCATTTATGATTTTTACTTCATTTGATTCTACATTTTCTTTCACGTATAGTGCCACTCCCCTGCCAGAATGACCTGTTCTGTCCTTCTGATCTATTTTATACCCTGGTATAACTATGTCCCATTGAGTGTCCTCATTCCACCAAGTTTCCATGATGCCTATTATATCAATATTCTCCTTTAAAACTAGGCACTCCAGTTCACCCATTTTACCATTCAGACTTCTAGCATTTGTGTATAAGCACTTTAATCATTTGTCACGGTTTATCTGTCTGCCATTTCCTGATGTGTTAGACTCTTTTTCATTTGATTGTGTCTCATCTGATGTGACTCGTACTTCCATCCTCTCCTCCTGACTAGAGCATAGAAAGTAGGTCTCTATTAATAGAACCTCCCCTAATCGATGTCTCTGTCCAATCCATGTGCTCCTCCGCACCTATCGGCTTTCCCCCAGTTACAAAAGGGAGTTAACCGTTTTTTTCTATCTCTGCTCTGTATTGATAGATCCAGTCACACAATCTTCCTGAGAGGAATTGGCTTCCCAGCTGGCCCTGGTTACATGGCAGGTAGGGTACTCTTCTCATGTGCTGTATGAGCCAGGGCTTTGGGGTAGGCTCAGATACAGAGTCATCTTCATTGCATGTAAGAACCAGAGCTTCTAGACAAGCTGCTACAATATCTATAAAGCATCACATGTGCCCATAATCACAGCCAATGGGTTTAACACTCCCTGGCTGCGTCTAGACTGGCTTGATTTTCCGGAAATGCTTTTCACGGAAACGTTTTCCATTAAAAGCATTTTCGGAACAGAGCGTCTAGATTGGCACGGATGCTTTTCCGCAAAAGCACTTTTTGCGGAAAAGCGTCTGAGCCAATCTAGATGCGCTTTTCCGCAAAAAAGCCCTGATCGCCCTTTTCGCGATCAGGCTTTTCCGCAAAAAAGCCCCGATCGCCATTTTCGTGATCGGGGCTTTTTTGCGGAAAACAAATCTCAGCTGTCTACATTGGCCCTTTTGTGCAAAAGCTTTGCGCAAAAGGACTTTTGCCTGAATGGGAGCAGAATAGTATTTCCGCAAGAAGCATTGATTTCAGACAGTAGGAAGTCAGTGCTTTTGCGAAAATTCAATGGCCAGTATAGACAGCTGGCAGGTTTTTCCAGAAAAGCGGCTGATTTTCCAGAAAAACTGGCCAGTCTAGACACAGCCCCTGTGAATCTGATCCCTTGTATGCAGCAAAGGGTGTGGGTCTTGCTGCTCTGGAGACTGAAATCCTACATCCAATGAGTAAATCTGAGCACTGGCACACACTTGCCCATGTGCCAGAGCCTTGGCTCGCAGGGACACCGGGGCCTGGCTGAAAGGTGTTAGCCAGCACCTACTGACAAGCTGGGGTTTTGTGAGGTGGACATTGGTCCACTAAAAATGGACTAAATCCCTCAACTTGATTCACATAAACCACCCAGCACCTTGTAGATGATAGAAACTTGGCCACCGAAGTTCTGCTCAACAGTCAAACCATAATTTCTGTCCTGCTGCAAATTCCCAGTGCCTTCTGTCATACTGTTAGTCAAACACTGCAGGGAAAACGCTGAATGAAATGGTTAATGCACAAAAATTTGCTTTAATAAAGAAGAAACTTTGAAAAATGTGTTTCATTTTCAGCGTGTGCTAGAATAACAAAACCCAGTGATATTGGTATGATAGTTACAAGTGAGATAGTCCTTAGCCCTAAGAGATGCTTTGCAGAGTCTGTTTGGACAGATGGCATGCTGTCCTTTAGCTTTAAACCTATTACTTAAATTTTCCACATAACAACTTCCCAAAGATGCCTTTGAAAATTTCTAAAGGAAACATGTACTTAATACTTTAATGTAATCAGGTTTGATTCAATACAGATTGTTCAGAAGCACCAAATATCTGTGGATGTATCTTGGGTTGTATCTAAATCTGTACTTCCGTGCATAGTTCTGTGTCTGAAAGCAATCCTGAGCCGCATCGTCTGTGAAACAGCCTGGTGAGCTTAGCAGAAATATGAACCATCTGAGTTGTGATGCCACTAAACCGTGCATCTTCCCTTTGTCTGTTTTGATAGATCTTGATCCTCTGAGGACATGGAAGTATGTTTTAGTCCAGCATCTGTAAAAAATACCCCACTGGATTCTGGAAAGAACAACATTCAGCTCAAATCCATCCCCCTCCTCTTTTGTTTTCAGCTACTGTCTGTCCAGCCTATGAAATTAGCACAAATACCCCCAAGAAATAGAATCCTGTGCACAGCTTGAATCAAATACATTGCACCCAATAAGGAGTTGCCCTCTGACTTCCAAATGATGTTTAATCTCTGAAGCAGGTGTAGTTGCCTTGTACAATCGGCACGTCATTTTTATGGGTTAAACAAATGGCTGCATTATTTTCCTTCAGACCTCATTGTTCTACAACAGCAGCTGGAACATAAGGTCAAAGCTGAAAAAAAAAAAGACCTAAGAACTGTCTACTCCACTCTGTTGATTCCATAAGTGAGACATGAGGCCTGAGAAAATGCCCTCTGTGAAGTAGAATCAATACTGACCAATGGGGATTATTGCCGAATGGTTATACACACCTTGGGCAGACAGACCTACAAGTGGATTTCCAGCAGGTAGCCAGGCTAACTTCATGTGTGTCCTGCGGGAGAGATCAGACCTGGGACTGTCACCCCGCTTAGGCCAGTGGGAGTAATGCCGAGTTTCTCTTTTCCAGGTTCATGGGTTCCTATGGCATTTCCAGACATGGGCAGCTTAGTGTCTCTGATTTTGCACAGTAGCTTGTTAGCATCATAACCAAGTGGGAGTTTAATTTATGGAGACCATGGCAAGTCACTAATCAGTTTGGGTGTTTAAAAATCAACTACAAACTGCTGTGTCTGGACAGGAATCATTTTAATAACACCAACCCCAGCATATTTCAATACAGCATTTTTTTTATAAATTCAGACCAAAATCAATAGGTTTTGGAGTGCATTGCAATGGTTGTGAGGACTCTGCATTTGTCTTGGGGAACTGGCACTACTTTCTTGCATTATTCATTGTTTCAGACCCCATCGATCGGGTATAAAAATCATCATGGCACGTAGGTACCCACCCGTCAGGAGTAGCTGCAGCATCCCACAGTGTTCCCTGTAGCTATGAGGCCTGACGTATCAATGAGATCATACATTTCATCACCATTTGTGAACCCGGTACTTTTGCCACATAGCCGCAGTGCAGGAGAGACGGATTCCTGTGTGCTTTGAGAGGTGTGTGTGTGGACACCAAATCTCGGTTACTAGTTCCTGTTCAGTCAGCAACACTGTAGACAGGAGTACATGTGCCAGATATGTGTGGAGTACATCTGTTTGTTCCTATGGCTGAACAAAGGAATGGCTTTCCTGAGCACTCCCTGTGTTGCATGAGAACTTTATGCCCGGTTGTGATGCCGGGGACTGGGTTTTCTCTTTGGAGTTGGACATGAGAGCGTCAGGGGCACCAGCTACGTATTGGAATGTGATCTCTTATTCGATAGTGTAACCACCTTCATCACACAGTGGGGAGAACTCATCTGGCACGGGCCCAGGGCAGTGGATAGCAGAGATGCTGGCTCTGTGGTGTTCTTGCCTAATACATCGCGGGTTCCACCCTCTTCACTACTCACAAGTAATTAACAAGCAATCAGACAGTAACGAGCCACTGGCGTACAGACAGGTAACACCCCAAAGGCTCCATGCCAGAGATTTGGAGGCCTCGGATCCAGCGCATCACGGTGGGTGACGGAAATTCGAATAGTGACTTGGGTGGAGGGAGCAGCTCGGGGGCTGAGTTCCACATAGGAAGGGGCAGCAGCACAGCCCCACAGCTGCTTAATCAGGGGCTCAGGGGTCCGAGCACAGAGCTGCCTGACTAGGTGGGGCTGATGAAGCAGCTGCAGAACCGTGCTGCCGCGTACCTTAGTGGGAGCCTTGGAAGGGCCCCCGGGTCAGGCTCGGCCACTCCCAAATGAAGGCGAGATGCTGGAGCCAGGGTGCGGGCTCCAGGACAGGTACAGCCTTGGGAGCAGCGCCTTTGGGCAGAGTGTGTCCCTATGAGAGGTGAGAGACAGACCCCCCCAGAGCTGGTCCTACCTGTCCGCTCAAGCGCTGCTTTCAAAACAGCATCACACAAGCATTGAGCAAGTATCTCCCAGTCCACGGTGCTTTGGGGATCAGCATCTCCCGCCCTGGGTCCTTCCTCTGCCCTCCAGGGACCAAGCCAGTGAGCTGGTTCTACTGAGTCATCTGGCAGGGGACCAGAGCCTTTCTGGGTGCTCCTGAATGCAAATGACTTTTTCAGCCTGGCCTCCTTGGTGTTTGAACCATTGGAACAACTGACGCACGTGCAGTCCCCACCTAGAATCAATACCTGCGCCGACTGGGGGATCAATAGGGAAGGGGGAAGGTCCATTGTCTAATGCAGCTTGGGGATCATTTGGAGAGATGATTTACAGAATTCTAAAGGTCTGACATTAGCTGACCACCAAATTACCCTTTCAATTATTCAGTAGTTTGGGAGATTATCTCTTGCCCTGCAGTGACCCAGCCCCGGCTGATGAGCAGAGCAGTAGATATGTGCAGTGGCCTCCGCCCCCATGCAGGCGGGCACGGCGAGGTTTCACACCCTGTGGGGAGTAAAAACAATTCCACGGTGCTCAGGCTGTTTGCAATATAAACCTGTGAAAAAGCATGAAAGGGAAGGTCACGGGAGGTCAGAGCCCCTGAGAGCCTCCCAAGAACGAAAGGCTGGCGGCACAACAGAAGCTGCACACGATCCTCTCTTCTCAGAGCTAAGTCAGGTTGGATTCCTGTCTGGAACACTAGCCAGTATCTGGCAGCCTGGGCAAAGGGGAGGCTGGCTTTCCGCTAGTCTGAGCAGGGCTGACGTCTCACTCCTTATGCAGCTCCATTTCTGTGTGCCAGCCGTGGGCTAGGAGTGGCAGAAAGACCATCAACAGTCCTTGCATTTCTGGCTTCCGATTGGCCCTATGTACCTGACGCCCAAGACGCAAAGCCGCAAACACTTTCCTGGCAGATAGCGCGCAGTATCTGGGTTTCCTCTCATGCCTCCTAGGTAAAGCCCACAAGTTTAAGGACATGACGTGGATTTCAGGTTCAGTTGACTGAAGAGATTTGCTTGGCAAGATGAGCTACAATGAGCGGTTGCTTTGCAGGAAGCCACTAAAATGATTCGAACCTAGGCAGTGTTTCATGATGTGTAGAGGGAAGCAGACTCCTGCTAGCAGCCATCTGACCCCTAAGCCCAACAGGGGCACAGAAGAATGGCCCCACTGGGTCAGGCCAAAGGTCTGTCTGGGTACTGTCTAGAATAGGGGAGACAGACAACAGAGAGACATTGGGAGGCCCCAAGTCTAAGCCCTTTGATCCTCGCTGCTCAGGGTCTGACAACGCTGAGAGTGCAGGAGTCAGAATCGCTTTTATTTCCAGGGCAGACGGTGTCAGGCTGCTACTGCGGGAACTTCCCCATTTACCCTGCTAGTGATCTCAGCCCTGACCTGGGCAGTCACCTCTGGGCGGGAGCGATGTGCCCTGGCCCCCAGCCAGGAATCAACGGCGTCCACATAGAGAGCGTGTTGCTTGTCTGCCACAATCAGGAACCAGGGAAAACCCAGGGTAGCTGCAGCACTGGGGCGGCTGCCCTGACCAGTGACTGAGTCTGATCCCAGCCTGATTTCCAGACTCCAGGGGCTGGGAGATGCTTGGTTGCCTGATTTCCATGGTGAGCTGACTCGGGCCTTCGGGGAGACAAGCAGCCAACAAGCCGCAGGCAGAGTGGGCATCCTGCTCTTCCAGGGCTGCGCTGCACAGTGGTAGGAGAGGGACTCAGTGTTGTGCGTGTGCATCTGGGAACAAAGGAAGACACTGGAACACCGATTTCTGCGGTGCCGAGCCAGCCTACTGATGACACGAGGGTTCTTGAACGCAGCACTGCTTGCCAACGCACACCACGGCCATGCTCCTGCTCAAGAGCGAGCTTCTAAAGCCCATTAAGCACATTTCACTGGAGTTCCACGCACTAACCAGGCGCGCACACACTCTCATACACACACGTGCGCACACGTACGCATGCGTGCACGTGCACACACACACATGTGCACACATGCATGCACACATGCACACGCGCACACACAAACATGCACACGCTCTCACACACACACTCTCTCTCTCTTTCCAATCACAAAGACTCTGCAAGCAGCAGCACAATTCTACCTGTTGTAAATTGCAACGGCCGACTCCCGTGGGAGATGTGTCGCGTGGCTGTTTGAGACCCTGTGACAACACTAAGAGGGATTTCTTTCCCCATGTCAAGTAACATTTTGTTGCACTGGGGCCAAACTGAACACGCGCTGACTAGAGGGGGAGCCTGGGGGTCTCATCTAATCACTGCACACGGGATTGGGTCTTTATGCTCGAAGAGGAGCCAAGACCATTGATGAGCATGAGAGTGACTCCTCCTTGCACCTGCTCTTGGGTCCGATGTTTTTCTAAAAGCTCTGCTCGAGGAATTACTGAGGGGCAGGTCTCTGGTCTTTGCGACGCAAGAAGTCAGACGGGAGGATCACAGTGGTTCCTTCTGGTCTTGGAGCCTAAGAATTTCGCCCCATCCTACACTCTGTGATTTCCAGGTATAGTTTACCTCCCTTTCTGCCAAGAACCCTTATTTCCAATGAGTCATGTTTGCACAGTGCTTGGAAAACACCGTGCTGCCCATGGAAGTGCGAAGTGGTGCTGATTTCTGATGTAGTCCCTTCCCCTTCCCCTTCCATGTGTCTCTCAGACACGGTACAGATATATTGCCCTTCGCTGCGCTGGGTGCATATGGAATGCTCTGCTCAGGCTACATCTACACTGCCGCAGCGTTTCGGAAGAGGAAATGCAAATAGAGAGCTCATTTGCAAATCTCGTGCTCTCATTTGCATATGCTCGTCCGATCCTTTTTGCAGAAGAGGTTTTTGTGATAAAAGCCCGGAGTAGACAGGGCCATTTGTTGGGAAAACCCCTTTTGCGCAAGAGCCTGTAAACCTCAGTTTTGGAGGTGGCAGCAAATGTATCCTAGTCAGCCGGGAGTTAGGAATCCCACAAAGAGAAGAATAATAAACGAAAGCACTTGAAGGTACAATTAATCCAAAGCAAATACTGGGAGGAAAGGGTGGCTAGACAGAGCTCCAGTCATCTGGAGTCAAACACATGCAAAATGTTAGGCCTTTTCCCTAGCTGGTCTCATGCGGGCGGTGACTTTCCGAACTGCTTTACAAACCAGTGGGACCTGTGAAGTCTTTATTCATAGACTCTACTTGTCCTCCCTAGGGGATGCAGGCTTTGTTTCTTTGTCTAGTTCACTCAGTCTCCACTCTGTTTACAGAACCTAGCCTTGAACCCAAGACACAGCCTGCTCGCTCCCAGTATGCTGCCCATCAGACACCACTCTGCTCAGCCAACAGGGGTTTCTCTTCCTTTCATACAGTCAAATCCAAATCCCAAACTGTGCTGCACACAGCACGGAGCTGTGCCACTTCCTGGCTGTGTGACAGATACCTTGGAAAGGGGAGACATTTCCCTCCACGGTTAAATGTTGCATTGCTATTGTAGGGGAATGTGACAGGACATGGAAAAGTGTCTCAGGAATGTATTGTCCATGTATCCTAATTATTGGTCCATGCTATTTAGTGCCTGCAGACACAGGTGCTTAATCCTGGTCCACAGGAATCTGATGTGTGTGTGCTTGCTTTGCCCCATGGATTGAAATGAATCTCCGTGGTTCTCTGGTGTATCTTAGAGA